CAATTTCAATATGTGGGGGTTTTTGTTTTTGTTTTGTGTATTGAGTGAAAAATAGCGGAGTTTTTTTTTTTATTAAAAAAAAATAGCGGAGTTGTTTGACTTATGGGTTAAAATTCAGAGGATTAAGAAGTCGAACTTGTATTTGATAGTATGAATGCTGTTTCTTTGAGCATGGTGGGAAGATACTCGACCTTTTTGATTTTTAAGAGGTTGTTTGATTCTTTGAGAATTGAAGTATTATGAGTTGGGAAATGGAGCGTAAATCTTCTCTCAAGTTGTTTTTTATAATAATTAACGATTGGATTTAAAACTACCTTTAGAATGGATTCTACTTATTACCTACTAAATATTAAATAAGATTGATATTGAAAAATCAATTATTAATGATCGATGTTATTAAGAAAATTGATTGAATGAAATTTATTGGTTGGGTTGATGTGTTTGATTAATCAATGGAGAAAATTATATAATTGGAAATATTAAAATTAAATTTGAAACAATCATCGGCACAAAAACCATTATTTTTCTAATCATTTATTTTAGTCTCATTAGGTGATAAACATAAATTTTAAATAACGCTTTAAAGCATTATTTTAATTCAAAGTATAAATGAGGTCCATACACCTGTTTGGAGTGTAAATAATAATATAATATTTGTAAGATTTTTGTAATTAACTCATTTCTTCTAAAATATAGCCACAAAAAACAAATACCATATTTAATTTTTATTATTTATTGTTGGTGGCGAAATCCGATTTGCTTATATGTCTGACCAATGGTGACACAATAGTCTACCTTGCATGCACGTGACTTTTCCCGACGTGCTTTTCCCGACCTTGTTGCCGACCCATATATTTCCCGACATTTTGAAGCATTGGGAAAAAACTTATTTCTTGTAGTGTACAAAAACTGAACTCAACATCGGTCTCATGTTCTGCCAAACGCACATTGAAGTTTAAGTTAGAACTCAGTTCTTAAATCTAAGAGGAGAGAAAAATGTATTATATAGTGCAAGATATTGCCTACCTTTGAAAAAGTTTAACTACTCTTTTTATAAGAGGGTGATTTGGAAGAATGTGCTCCGAAAATCTGGATCGTACCATCAAGCAAAGAGTTGTTTAGTCGACTCTAAAGATTCTATAATGACATGTGAAATCATACTCCCGTCGAATGTCAGCAGATATCTCGCTGGATGAACTCTTGTTCGATGAAGTAGCCGAACTAGTCGGTTGCTCGTCTTTGGGACACACGGGCTTCCACTGCTTGGCCTATATTTGAGCCACGCGATGCTTGGGGTGCTTGGGTTTCCCACACGTGTTTTATCAAATTTGAGCCCCGCAATGCAAAAGTTACATGACTTTCCCTTCTTCTAAGTTCTTTTTTCCCTACAAAGTGAAAATGAAAAACCAAAGTTGAAGAAGAAAAAGATAAAAAATCAAAAACAAATTTACTTTAGTACTTCATTAGAGAAGTCGAAATAAGTACCAACATCAAACTCTTCTTGGGAAAAAGTTCACTTGGCCAATTAATTCCAAGTACTAGATTTTTTTTTTTTTGGCAAAATCTAAAAGAAAACTTTTAATGGTCTAGGATTTTAGTTGTGTCCAGTTGAATTTAGGTTAGCGTTGGAAGTTAGGAGAGTTTGACGTTGACATGTGCGAGCTGGTCGTGGTCCAACCTCTAGCTACCCTCTTTCTACTTTACTTTTGATGAGATAATTAAACTTGCGTTCGTTTTAACTCACGTGCATCACCGTGTCTTTCTTCAAATCAAAAGATGAGTGGTTTAAGATTTATATAACACAAATTAAAAGGCGCAAACTTAGCTAGATTTGTTATATTATATCTCATTAATGAGCGAGGGCAAGGCAAATAAGAAACTCCCTTCGAGACGTCTTATATTAAAAGATATATATTATATATAAAAAAGCGAGATTTTAATTTTTGTCCCCAATTTTCCATCCTCCCTAAATTTTCATAATTATTGAAGAACTATTTATATGTATACACACAAATTTTGCCCCTCCCTGCAAAAATTTCTGCCTTAATTACCTCCATTTATGAGAATAATTTGAAGGACGAGAAATGTAGAGCAGGACTAAGGGTACAATTTTACTCTATTTTCCGAAGGCAAATTCCCATTTTCTTTTTCTTTATCTTTTTTAATTCAACGACACATGTACTGGGAGTGGGAATTAACTCACGATTGGTAGGAGAGATTGGTGTATTATCCCGTCTAGATAAACTTAGGTTGGCTCAATTCCTCCTTGTTTATTATTGTTTGATATAGAGTACGTAGTTATCTATCTCTCTATCTCTCCGGACACAAAGTATTAATTTTTTTTCTTTGAACAATTCACAACTATTAATTTCTTCTTGTATGGTTTCAAAACAAAACCAAAAAAATTCTTCTGTAGAGCAGGAACACTTCAAAAAATGCATGAATTGAATACTGAAGCTAGACTGGAGCAAAAATTCGTTTTCACGAACATAGATATCTTAACGAATTGAACTATACTCGTGTTAGTCAGATTAAAGAGTTTTAAACAAAAAAAACACAACTCTAAAAATGTCGTCATGACTATCGATAATTGTTAGAATCGATACGTGAGGAGTAGTAATCTCTCTCTTCAATAACTTTGGTGCGAGGAAAGTACTTATCTTTTGTAAATAAAAAATAATTAAATAATTAAAAAAGTACTTACAAGGCAATTTTTCAATATTTTCCACAACCAAGGTGGAAGAGTCACAATTCGTGGATAATAATTAGAATATTAAATTTCAGTCAATATGTCAATATTTATGTTCATGAATTTGACATTAACATAAAAAATGGATCCAAATTTATTTGGTATTGTAAAAAATTGATAAATATAAAAAAAAACAATCAAGAAAATATTATTAACGTAGACATAATACTAATAATAATAATTTTTAACTTATTTAAACATATTGAGATGTTTATTTGTTACTTTAAATATTTATTATAAATTTTTTATTTTTATAATATTTTTTAATTTATCTATCGGCATCCATATTTTCATACACATTTATTGAAACAATTTTTAATAAGTTGGGGAATAAAAGTCTTTGAGATTGACTTTGTTGGAGCATTTTGTAATATGAATGGCTCAGCATTCCTTTAAATACCAGAGAACTGGTAATTAGAGCCGTGGGATTCGTGTGAGCAACTCAATTTCCCTCTACACTTCTTTTTTCTATTTCTTTTTTTTCATTTAATATAATATGAATAGACTTTTCATGGTTCGTGTGTTTTATTTATTTATTTAATTAATATATTTTTGTGAATGGTAAAATTAAAATAATTACGCTTTTCGGAGAAAAATTAGCCTACAAAGTTGTAAGATTTGTCTTGTGACAAATATATGCAACTATATGACATATCTAAGTTATTCAATAATATTTATTTTCATATGGTACCACGTTCGATTTCATTAATCTTTAATTGGATAATGAGACTAAATTGGTACGGCCATGAAAGTATTAGAGCTATTAGAGCTAAAATTGTTATTAAGAAAACTTAATTTAAAAAAAAGAAAGTGTTCAGGCATATGAAAATAGCTAATTCTAAATTTTTTATACAAAAACAGGCAATAACAAAAATTATAGGGAAAGAATGAAAATTTAAGGGGAGAGAAATACACTAAAAGACTATTTATTTATCACCTAATGTGTGCAAGTTGTACGGTTGAAAAACTAGCTACGATTATAATTAAGGAGAACGATATAAGAATATGTGTGCTCCTTCAACAAGGTTGTATCAAATTTACGAACATTACACCAGGGTCTTCCCTTTTTC